GATTTTCTAAAATTACAGAGACAGAAGCGTCGGCCTACAAAAGCGATCGGTGAAATAAAGAAATTAAGCTTTTTGCAGCAAAACTGTCTCAAAACTGAAAAAACCATGGGCGTCATGTTCTGGAGAATATTTCAAAGAAACTTTTGGCGAAAACTGCATGTCGATCGATCGATGCAGCCATTAAAAACCTTTTGAATAGCAACATTTGGCCACCACAAATAGATAATAGAAAAAAGAAACTGAGTACTTTCTCTGTATATCAGGGTAGCATTATATTAAGCAATCATACAAGAGGAAAGTTGTTTTTCCCCAATGTAAAATTCACCACTCAAAAGGAACAAAAACTGATGCTAAACAGAATCTTGATTTAGCATCCACTATAACACACTCTTGTCTCATTAAGTTAAAATTTTCGTCTTGAATGATATTTTAGAAATTTTTGTATGAATTTTCCAAAAAAATCTCCACAACAACAGTTCTAAGATACATGCTGCTCATGATTTACAAAAGCAGTGAATCAAGTATTTAACCTTGAGCAAGGTAATACTTATTATTCTGATTTTTCTCTCTCAATAATCGGAAGAAGAAGAAATTTATGACTAAAAACAAAGAAATAAACAGCGAAGCACACAAACCTGTCGGTCTCTGTCGTGGTGGAACCACCCCTGGCAATCGAGTCTCCCATACCGTCGTCCGGACTTTCCTGAAGAGAGTTATCTTTCTTGACGACCATGGGTGGGGTCTCTGTGCCAACGCCCCGCTCGACGGTAGAGGAAGTGATGGACAGCTCCATGCTGGTCTTGCGGTCGGAGGAAGGAGTCGTGCGGGCTGTCGAGCTCTCCTCTACCACAGTCTCAGGGCGAGAGAGCTCTTCGGATTCGAAAGATACGAAAACCTGGAGAGGTGAAGGGATTGTAAATAGAGCGCAGTCCAGTTTAACCCTACCCGCACGTCGTGTTTTACTATCGTATCCATACGAGGTGGGGAACTCAGTGCCCCCACTTTCCAAAGAGGAAATTTACTCGTTAATCCGATCCGTACGCTTTGCATAGCAGTCAGTCAAAATGATTTTTTGAGAAATACCAAAAGTTTCAAAGAGATCTTTGCACTAGAAGTATTCTTAAATGTGAAGAATACAACCCCGGGAGTACAAAATGACCCTAGGGCGTACGGAGAGGGTTAATGGTTAAACAACACAAAGGCCTTGAAGGGGCCAAAAATGTGGTTGTTGAGGTAAACTAAAATTGAGAGGAAGTAGTAAAGGATGTACTATTTAGTCTAAAGAGAGCGAATTTCAGTTGGAATAACACAAAGGCCTAAGGGCACCCAAAATGTGGTTGTTGAGGTAAACTAAAATTGAGAGGAAGTAGTAAAGGATGTACTATTTAGTCTAAAGAGAGCGAATTTCAGTTGGAATAACACAAAGGCCTAAGGGCACCCAAAATGTGGTTGTTCAGGTAAACTAAAATTAAGGGGAAGTAGCAAAGGAATATGATTGTAGAATAGAATATAGATTGGAGAATATGAAGTACATTAGAGTATAATATGAATTAGATTAGAAAACATGAATTACATTTGAGAAATAACTGGGGAACCATAATCAATGACGTCTGATTCAGATCTGGATAAACGATAAGAAGGAGGAGAAACATCTCGTCACTACATCGCCATTTATGGCAAGGAAGAAGCAAATCTGGGCCTAATGATGGCAACAATAGAGATAGAGAAAAGAAACTAACACTCTCCAACAACCAGCACACAACTTACACATCCTGAAAATTACACAAACTGTTCTCCCAGGCCATATTGTGAGTACCCAGCTGTCAGCAGTGACTTGAAGCTATAGTAACTTATTGAATACTTAATCCTGGAGTCCTCCTTTGACACTTTATACTTGCTGATGAAAAGATTAGAGGTGTTACAAGAGAGGAAAATACAACGAAAAGAAGGAGGACAGATTAGGATGACAGATGTTTACCTTAGCACACCTGATAGCATTCTGAAGCAATCTCAACTTCCTAGGAAGCATACATTGCAAGCTGCCACACCCACCTCATTACTGAGACTGGAGTCCTTGCGCACAAGAGGGATGTGTCCGTCGGTGCTCTCCTGCGACAGCTTTGCCAGGTTGGCCGCGATGGTCTCCTTGTCTCTCTGGCGTATGATGGCCTCCACGGCCAGCCACTCAGACATGACCTTCTCGTACTCCGTCCTGACCGCCTGCTCCAGACCCACGCGTTCCTCGGGTGTGCTGCCAAACTTGTAGTGGCTCAGCAGGTACGGCCACACCTGTGGCGCGAAAACAGACAAATTGTAATAATAAATAGCATTTATTTTGTTTTTTAGTTTTAGTAGAGGAGAGGATGATGCTTTTGGGAATACAAAAAGGAAGCGGAAAATCTGGCATCCTTGAAGGAAAGAACAGAAGAACACTCAACCAGAAGTGCACTGGCACAATCAGTGGAAAAACCCTCAGCGACATTTTGGAGAGAGCAACGGAGCATCAATAGACATGTCCGGAGTGCAGGGATGTTGCTTCCTGAAACAATGAACAATGAACAATAGTAGAGGTTTTACGGCGCTCGCAACTGCATAAGATCATATGAGCGCCAAGGGGTGGATGTCAACAGAGAAGTCTTTACAAGGAATCAGATTTACTCTACCCACCACTCTAGCTTCAACAGCACGAAGTCTGCTTGTTTATAAACATGTCATTGCTGATCACCACTGTGCAGTGATTGGGTTGATTTTTTTAGTTCAGATTATTGTTTCTTGTTCAAGAACACACCCCAGTGACCACCCACCTAAACACATATGGCTATATGGCTGAACCATGGTCAGAAAAGAATTGAATTCGACAATAAAAACTGATAAGGTGTCTTTCACAAGGAACACAAAAAAATGCGTTGACAAATCCAAACTTTTCAAGGCATTTGACTGTAAGTGTTACAGAAGAAGAGAGGTACAGGTAAAACAGTCTGGCACAAACCTCCCTCCTGAGTTCATGAGAGACTCCTCCGTAGTACACCAGTCGGTACACCTCAGCCGAGTTGGTCACCTGAGGAATAGATTACGTTTGTATAGGTTATGTTTGACACAAGTCACTCATGACCTGAGGAATAGATTAGGTTGGATACAAGTGACTCATGACCTGAGGAATAGATTATGTTTGACACAAGTGACTCATGACCTGATAAAGATGCATTGTATTTTATCTACCATTTGAGGAAGATGCATTGTATTTTATTCACCACAAATGACTCATGACGTCTCAAAAACAAGTTGTGAAAATAAGAATGAGGAAGAGGATGTACATCTAAGATGTATTGGGTAACTGGTCCATGATTTTAATTTTTAGCAAACGTCCATTAGTTCTAGGGAGTGCAAACATTACAACAAATTCACAGCCTCGGTTTTTGCTATTAGTATGACTTAAGGGCACTACTGACTGAAACACCACCTCTACACAAAGCTCAAGGTTGGAAATTCAGAGCAGTGCCACTCAGTGTAGTAGCGCAAACCAAACAAGGAACCGTCTGCTACAAGTCTGCTCAATGGCCAAGGCACTTTGAATGAAATATTGACCCAACCATGGGCAGAGGGGTTTTTGTAAAGTGTTTTACGGCGCTCGCAACTGCATAAGGTCATATGAGCGCGCGGGACACACCAAATATTTTCAGTTGGTAGGAAATTTTGAATTTTGCCCGGGTGGCGGCCGAAGCCTACTCTTATCGATTTTAGACCACCAAGGGATCAGGCAGAGAGAGCCAAAACTCTATGGGAGCCTAGAGGACCTGCTGCTACATACAGTAGCCTCTGCACTACAGACTGGGACATCAATTTAAAGATGAACGAGAAGAAAAGTGTAGTTCAAGTAAAGAGAAATGCACGGACACAATAGTGATCATTTGGTGTAAGTAAGAAAAAGATTGGCCGACAGAAACAACAAAGGGAAAGAAAAAAAGAAGGACCAATCAGAGGCCTTCTCCAACTACCAGCTTCTGGCTCTTACAATATCAACACTTTACAGTCACACAGACAGCAGTACAAAATACCCAATCTGGTCACCCAGCCAGGAGAGTGATTGAAAAGGACTTCTCAGGCCTGTCGAAGAACTACATCAAGTGACTGAAACGGATAATTTTCACCATCGTGTTATTGCGGCAAGTGACCACAAAAGAGCCTGAACTCCCAGAGATACAAAGAAGCTGCACCACAGAAAGATCATCGGCATCCTTTAAAAAAAATTTAGTAGAGGTTTTACAGCGCTCGCAACTGCACAAGGTCATATGAACGTCAAGGGGAGGAAGTCAACAGAGAAGTCTTTACAGGGAATCAGACTCACTCTGCTCATCTCTCTAGCTTCAACAGCACAAAGTCTGCTTCGACTATCAAGGCACCCAGGAAATAGTGGGTTAGTGACAAACATACAAAAGAAGTAGAGGAAAATGAAGATAGTAAGGATTAGGAAAGAAAAAGCAGCAGTTCCCTGTTGTAGATCAGGCACAGAATGAGCATAACATTGTTGAATCAGCTCGTTTACAATTTTACTGAGCTTAAGAACGAGAAATGTCCCCCCCCTTTGGGAATGGCCTGAAGACACTTCAGTCAGTGGCACCGCCCGGGGGAGGGGGGGGGGGGATCGGCGTCCTTCAACGTACGAGACACATGATGTCAGAGACACAATGATGTGACAAGCAGAGAGGGCAACAGACAGACAGACAGACCTTCCCGTTAACACAGAGCTGATTCCACATCTCGGGAGTGAGCCCATTGGCCGCGTCCACAGGGTTGTTCTCGGAGACAATAGCGTGGTAGACCAGACCAGACAGGTGGGTCCTCACGGTCTTCAGATGTCGGCAGTGAGCCAGCCCTGGGGAGGGGGAGTAGAGGAACGGGTTAGAGAGTAGGAAGTAGGTTAGAGAAGAGGATTTGATTATAGAAAAGGAATCATTTTATGGAGTAGGAAGTGGGTTATAGAATTGGGAATTATGTTACAGAAAAAGAATTATGTTATGGAATGGGAATTATGTTAGAGATTAGGAATTATGTTATACAATAAGAATTATATTATAGAAAAGGAATTAAGTTATAGAGTAGGAATCATGTTATAGGACAAGATTTCAATTATAGAAAAAGAATTAGATTATAGAACAGGAAATAGATTAGAGAATAGGCATGCCTCATAGTGATTACAGAAATACTTCAGCATTTGCGTTCTAAGATAGTATAGAACAAGTCTATGACAAGATGTGATGTATCCCCAAAAACAGTAGCAAAGACTCACATCCGTAGAAAGCTCTGGAGATGATTTGTTTGGTCATAGTGTCACACAGCTGCTTGATGTGACTCCTGTGTGGGGAGACAGACGGAACAAATCGTGAACAGATGGAACAACGAACAAATTGTTAACAGATGGAACAACGAACAAATTGTTACCAGATGGAACAACGAACAAATTGTTAACAGATGGAACAACGAACAAATTGTTACCAGATGGAACAACGAACAAATTGTTAACAGATGGAACAAGGAACAAATTGTTACCAGACAGAATAAAGTACAAATTGTTAACGATCAACTGGTGACTCCTGTATAAGGAGACAGAAGGATCAATGCACCAATTGCGAACAGATGGAACAACACAAACTACGCTTGTCAGACATTTATTGGTTCAGTTACCAACAGAAATTCGGTTTTTAAACCACAATGAAAAAATTTACAGGACCTCAAAAGTGTTATCACTCTAAATATATCTTTTTACCATGTTTCCTTTCGAAATGTAAGTTTTTAAAAAATATTTAAATGAAAGTTATGCAATCTCAACATAAAAGAAAACAAATTATTTTTGGCAGTATGATAAAAATACAAAATGGTTTATCGAATGTACAGGTATACATAACATAACCCCCC